GTAGTCCACCTAGCACAGTCAGCAGTCCCAGTCCACCCAGTCCGGTCCAGTCCAGCAAGTACCGTCTGGGACTGTGTGCACGATGGGCCAGGGGCACAGGGCAGACCAGTGCAGCACAGAAGTATAAATCAAGAGGCTGCGCCCAGCTATTCATTCATTCAGGCGGAAGCCATGCGGAAGCGCTGCTTCAGCGTCTTGTGCAAGGAGGTCTGCTGGAGGCCCGAAGACGAAGTGGGCGAGAGTGAAGCAGGGTAGCCATAGTGATAGGTAGCGGCAGCCATAGCTGCCATAGCTTAGTATAGAGTGCARTGTGTGTGTACTGTGTGTGTCTTCAGAGTGGTGAGCGTGGGACATCCAGGGTGATCCAGAGTGCGAACAGTGAGTTGTGTGGGCCCACAGCCGCCATAGCCAGTTGGAAGAGAACTCTTATCTGGTTACGATATCTTTGAGTACTGTGTGGGCGCATGTCGCCAGTTTGCTGTATCGCTGTTTGCATGCATGACAAGTGTGAATAAGTCGAGTCTGATTTCACTGTCTGGCCATGGGTCCAATACCCAGACCGCTTAGCATAGGGCTGTTTTTATCTGCTCTTCAATTTCGGCCGACCGTCAGCCTGACTATACATAGGACAGATGGGGCAGCAAGAGGAGCTCAGTTGTTCCCTCGTTTTGCCACCAGACGGATGGGGCAACATGCAGTGCTGGCACTCTAGGAGGAGGAGCAGCAGCATTGCCTCCGAGTGTAAGACTGCCATAGAGGAATTAATGCATGATTGATGTGGGGGTCAGTGAGGGTGTACATGCATTGTGGGGACATCCCTTTCTTTTTCACCCCCCTCCAGACAGGCGCTGCACACCCCGGCAAAGAACATCAGATGCACCAATAAAAAAAACAACAACACACAAGCATTTAAGAAAAGAACAACAATGAGCAAAACAAGGCCCAAAAAGAAGGTACACACACACCGAGAGAAAGGTAACAACACAAACACTCCGACAAGAGATATCAGAACCAACAACAAGCACACATGCTGCAAGAGAAAAGCAGCAACAAAACCATCCCGGTTTCACCCACAACTTCCTCTTTGTCTTCGATCATCGGACAATGGGTGGCACAAGATATTCACTGGGTTTCCAGCATGTGCGATTACTGATCTTGGACACATATTCAGCCATATATGTGCACCCAGTGTTGACCTGAAGGCCCTGAATATCAGTCATTGAAAATGACAAACGATACATATGAAACGGACAACGGGGGAAAAGGGAAGGGTGAATTACCTGTTGAGCTTCGGAGAGTTCACTGTCACTTGCAAAGCCCAGGAAACCAACCCGGTCTCCTTTGCGCTTCTTGGCAGTCTTGTATTTCACATTCTGCAGGGAGGCAAAGATGGGAAGGGACGCAAAGACTGACAAAGTGAGTGAGCTGCAGGAGATAGGACGACAATTTTGAAAATGCACACACTACTGAGCAACTTGTCAAGAAAAACGACAAATTTGTAGTATTCAAAAAAAATATACTAGGCTACCAGAGTGGCCCGGGTCCACTTGCCCGGCCGGGCCAAAAA